GAGAACCGCCTGGTACGCTTCAAAGATCAGCTGCAGCAGGGTGACAAGTCTGCTATTGAGTATTTAGATGCTTGTGGACACTTGCTTCGTCTGGGATAAATAAACTGTAAAAGTTATTAAATGTAAAGTGTACATTACCAAAAACTGTCATAAAGTGTTGTTATAAAACTGTATAAAATTTATCAAATGTAAAGTGTCATTAAATGTTAAGTATAATATTTAAGTATCTATTTAAAGCTGCTTTGCTTTGTTTGTCAGATCTTATCTGGACTATTCCATTTTAAAGTCTGAGGTAACAAGCATAAGGATTAGTGTGCACTCAACCGTTTAAAGTGTTGTTATGAGCTGTCTAACTATTGGGTGATCTAATCAATGGGAAGACACCGCTAAGCACGCTTTCGGGGTACGATGACACGTAATCAACCAAGTCTCCGAACCTGACAACCAGATCCATAAGGTCGACTCTTATGACAGGCATATGTTGCTGGGACCTATTTTAACCCGTAATCCCTACATTTGTCTTGTTAGAACCTACATTAAACTATGGAATACAGATTGCCAGTGTATATTATATATTGGAATCATTCATTGACAATTTCCACTTGTTTTCACCCCTTTCTCAATTTTCGATCCCTACATTTGTTTTGTTAGAATCTACACAAAACTATGGACTATTTCCAGTATGCATTATATATTAGAACCATTCACTGACAGTTTCAACTTATTTTCATCCCACTGGCATTTACCCAATTTCAGATCCATGTTTTCAACTTAAACTTCTTTTAAAAACATACTTACATCGAAGTCCACTTTGTGTTGATAAAAGATTATGCTCTTACGGAGCATAATTGTAACCTATATAACATTGCTGTGCTCGTTTTGTATGAAGGGGATATATATTAAGAGCGTAACTGGAATAATGGTTTGAGTAATCCGTTACAATGGTACATACTAAGTTTACCGAAAGCTCGAGACTCCCAGAACGTGATAGTTTGCATGTTGATGTCTATAAATCTTTAATTTTAACCTGCTGGTTGGATATGGCGTCTATATAAGAGGCGTAATTATACATGATATTTTGATTCAGTATTATTAATAAGAAGTGTTCAAGATTTAGCTACATTGGCCATAGTGATGATGCACGTGTAATATATGTCGACCATAAACGAGACTAAAATGATGGACTCCGTTCCACACAGACGATTGTAATTATCATACCCTACAAACGCTTAGTCTCTGAAAATATATAATTTTGATTTTGAAACAAATAACTCCATTTGAATTAAAACGGGGCTCCATTGAGATGGGAGATTCAGAGCCTGAGGAAAATCTAGACTTAATTCCTTTAGACTGAGACCATATATATATGGTCTCTGCTCTAGATTTTGGTATTACAGAAAGGGCTGGGCGAAAAGGGGAAATATTATGGTTCAGAGACTGTGAAACAAACCAGTCTCACTCTTGAACATAGACTTACGACAGTTCGGGGGAACAGATAATTTTTAATTGTTTATAGACCATTATATAATGCGCAGACTGTGTGACACAGGGTTTCAGTCACACGTTTTCATTTATATGTGGCTAAATTATACCAGTCAGCGTTCGTGCATTTCAAAAGCAATCAGCCAATACAACAAAACATGATGTAATGGTTTACTTAGATAAGCACGTACAGCGCCAGAGACTGTTCTGCAAGTTTGCCAATTCACGTAATCATACTTGTGCACGTATCATGCATCACCCACGGCATGCTAGCCGTCAGACAGGCGAGTCTTTCACTGTGAATCCAGGATGTATCAAATGTCTCGCCAAGCTGGTCAAGCAGAGCGCGGAGAGGATGGTTCTCAAATGTGTTGGACAACGCCTATCGACTGGCACTTCTTTGTGGCTCCCGGCACACGGCACATAGGAGCCTTCCGACTGTGCACTCCATGCAACACTTCACTTGTAGGGCACACCGTGAGTTTCATTGGGCAGAATTAGGAAGGATCCTGAAAGTGTCCCTCACTGGTTAATTTGCCAATCAGTTAATAGTTACGAGGTTCCCTGTTGAAAAAAGAGCCCCAGTTGAAATTAGAAAGTATTTATATTTCTTAATGAACTAAATATATGTATTTGAACTGCTCATGTCCTGAATGCATTTGTATGCCGATTTCAACCAGTCCACCATTAATGAGTGAGTGAGTGAGTATGGTTTTACGCCGCTTTTAGCAATATTCCAGCAATATCACGGCGGGGGACACCAGAAATGGGCTTCACACATTGTACCCATGTCGGGAATCGAACCCGGGTCTTCGGCGTGACGAGCGAACGCTTTAACCACTAGGCTACCCGACCGCCCCTCCACCATTAATACTTTACGGGATTGTATACAGTACGTTCTTGTGATTAAACCCGCGAAGTACTGACGAAATACAGTCACTGTATATTATTCCTTATTTTGTTAATTCCGTACCACAGCTCTTCTGTTTACGGTTGTCGATTATAAACTAATAGCCGACTTACATGAAAACATAAAATATGAAATTATTGATTATTTACGGTATATGCACAATGAGCATTTCGTAGTAGAATGAATCGTAGTAGAAGATCTGATTTCAATTAGTGTGTCCTCATCTGTACTTCCACACAGTCGGATCTTGGGCGTATTACCTAACATTGTACGTTAGACGACTCGGACCGACAACTCTTCCTACACCCAGAGTGTTTGTCATTAGCAGAGGTGTGATTAGTGTGTATCAATTGCATAGAGATTATAGATGTAATTGTTGCCACGTGTAATACTAGAACTGAGACATTGTCTTTGTCTTATTTGTTAATAGCCAGTTCAATATGTACACATAGTAACAATTAAAAACAAAACATGAGGGCTGTGATTAAAAAATGTCTTGGTTCAAGGTTGCTGATGGTTAACGTCACTGTCACCAAACGCGGAAAGGAAATCCAGGTGTCCATGTACGTATAGGGTGGGGGTGTTGGCAATATACCAATAATGTTCATTTACAAATCGCGTAGTAATGTTCCGAAACATATCGGCAAAAACGTTTCCAATTGTATGGAAGTACGAATGTTTACTTTGAACTGGGAAGTAAACCACCCTCATCACCACCACACCACCCCTGTTTCACGCTGTCACTGCTAATCCGCATGGTGCACCCAATTGTTAAAGTTAGTTAGTGAGTTGGGTTTAACGCCGCTTTTAACTTTATTGCAGTCATATCACGGCGTGTCAGCTTAATGTGGGAGGAAAGCACGGAGTGATGCAGGTCTTAGACGTGCTGACAAACAAAGAAACATAATCGCGGCGAACCGGGATTCGAACACACAATCATAGGTTTCTGGCGTGCCCAAGGGACGCAACTCTGGCCTATTATAAGGATAGAATTACCATACACTCATGGACTTATCATTCAGTATAGCCTCTGAGCAAGGCTAGTGCGGTACCTCTGTCTCTCCCTCAGCAGTATGGTAGCGTTTAAAACGTATGAATAGATCTTCACAAACCATGCACTGTCCTTATCTACAATAAATCCGAAGTATCATATTCTGATCTGACAGTAACAGCCTCCTCGGACGCAGCCGATGTCAACCTTCTCCCAGGGACCGTTTTCAAATTTAGTTCTTTGATCAGCTTCATTCAGAATGCATTCCATTTATATTCCCAATAAGTGTGGGTATTGCCCGTGTAACATATACCTACATTACTACATCAACGCTCATCACTCGATCGACTAATCCTAAAATATCATATGAGCGATGCAACCTGATCATGTCTAAGAACATTATATAGTCTGTCATACAGACCCAACAAATAACAAATATATCCAATACAGCTTATGCAAGGTTATAAAAATTGGCCATTCTAGATTACTGCAGTTTCGGGAAATGAAGAGTCTATGGGACCCTTTTTATTTATTTATTAAAATAATTTTAACAACTGTTTTCTAAAAAATATTTTTAAATAATTGTTTAAAGATGACACTTTATACAACCGGATTCAAAGCACACAGAATGTAACTTCCACTTTTTATCTCAACATTTCCGTTTGTGACAGATACTTCTGTATACCCGTGAAAATCCGGTGTAGAATGCAGAGCTCCAGATATCTTTTTGAGAAATTGAGTTTTTTACTCAAAGGTTTCTATTTTAATTGGGTTATTACATTTGTTATTGGGTATTTATTTCTCACTCATCTATTCATCACTCTATTGGGGTTTGTCCAAAATAAGTAAGCAATTTGAGATTTAAAAAAATATGAAATAATGTTTTAGATGTATATAACGGTTCTAAATATAGGATTGACTCGGACAGTAAATTAGCTCGCAATTGTGTTTCGGAAATTAGCTCCGGTGTACGCATGTTGAAAAGACTTCATTGGGTATTTACGCGTGCTGTTTTCCAACAATTGAGTTTTTCATTTAATGCATGCGTTTCTGTACGCAAGCTAATTGAAAATAATTGGGTTTTGAATAGTTTGGGGGGACATTTTACGCAAATATCTGTAGCTCTCGAGAATAGGTCTTCAGCATCCCATGCTTGCCGTAAAAAGGCGACTTTGCTTGTGGTAAGAGGCGACCAACGGGATCGGGTGGTCATGCCCGCTGACGTGGTTGATGCATGGGGATGATATCTATTTTATGGTCTCTGATGCATGTCATCGTATCCCAATGACATGGAACGATGCTCATGCCGTCAATCACTGGATTGTCTGGTCCTGACTCGATTATTTACAGACCGCCGTCATATAGCTGAAATATTGCTGAGTGCGGCGTTAAACAAACAAACAAAACAAATTTAAATACAGTGTATATCGTGTGCATTTCTGTAACATTAGCAACCCATATTCCTTTATAAGACCATTTTAGGTTCACTAAGAACGCCCTAACTCAAATCAGAGAACAATCCTGGAATAGTCGCACATCTGTCGATGCGAATGCCACCTAACGAGCGGAGGATAGAGCAGACGACTTTTGGGGCCTCGCTTTCGATTTGACCTCTAACCTGTCTAAATGTGGACAATGCTGGTTCCAATACGGGCCTCGAGATTCCACATGATGTTGCGAAGAACTAAAAGAAGAACAATCTCAATGTTGAGTTGACAACGCAGTCGCAATCGGAATGCGGTCAATTTTTCAAACATAACGAATACATCTTGTTCAACGATAGCAAATCTGTGAGAGATCTCATCACTTCAGCAACTTGGAACTTTGTAGTCTCCGCCTGTCTTGAAGGTAAGTCGGGGCGATATGAACTGATATATCATGGAATTGTTAGTATGGTGGCTGAAAGCGTATCTTTGTTCTACATAGGTAAGATTTTGGTAGATGGATGCAGCAACCCATTGATAGTGAATCATATTGTGAGTCTTGGCGTATTTTGGTAACTTTTTGACCCACAGCTTCTGGGCTGAGTTTGGTAGCCGTTACCGTACTCAACCAAATAAATATTTAATTTCTATTTTTAGTTTTTCAACACAAGTTAGGGAAAAGGGAAGACGGTTTTTGTTATGACTTTAACATTGGTGAATACAAGATGTATTGATACAGTTTTAGCTCGTTTTTAGACTATATTTGATTATGTGTAAATACTTCCGAATACAAAATGAAAATTATGTGAAAAAGCTATTTGCTTTTACTTGATAGATCACCAACAATTGTATCAGTTTTTAACTCAAGTTGAATGTTATTTTCTTTAAATATACATGGTAATTATCTTGACATATTGAATATAAAACCAATTAAGCACAACCAGAGACCATATAATAGATTATATGGTCTCTGGCACAACATATTATTGTTGATGGTCTTTCTACTTTTAGCTTCATGGGTGGCATAAACAGCTGATAAGGCATCACTTTTTGTAGAATGCACTGTGTAGCTTTTATGATAATTGACTGGAAATGTTGGCTATCTTTTCCAAATTTAGAATTAAAAACTGAACATCCAAGTATTTTTGTTGTACTGGGTACACTTCTCTATCTGAATCTGTAGATGGAATTTTATTTCTTATCTTTCTTGTGTGATAATTACAGTTGTTCAAATAGGCAATATCTTTCATATTATGACTGCAATCTATAACTCTGGAAATATCTGATTACTATGGAAAATATTGCCATTCTACATGTCCTAGTTGAATTGGGTGTAAATCATCATGTCATAGTCAACATTTAAAACATGGTAAAAGTGATAGATTTACATATTTTTAGTTTTTACGTTGTACATGTAACAGTGGAACCCTTTTAATCTAGACACTTATCTTTCCAGTGAAATTAACCATATTAACAAATCATGGGAATGGAGTAATGTCAGTATATATATTTGCCTAGACTAACAAAGTCTATTACATGAAAACACAACAATATTCTCCACTCTAATTTTATTCCAATGCTGATAGAGCTAACTTTTTTATAATCAAGATTGGTTTTTCATTTCATAATATATATATTCCACAGTCATGGTGGAGGGCTAACAATCACCCTTAAAGACAGGTTTTTGGAGTAAAGGGGCTCAACTAATAAGGTGTTACTGTATAACCAAAATCTCATAAACTCTTCAGGACATTTGCGCCAGTCGTGTCTGCCCAAATATGGATCCGTATGTAACCCAACATACAGACGCTGTCCGATCACAAAGGCAGCGAGGGCCAGAACAGACAGTGTTTGATAGACTATGATTAGGTGAGCTTTGATCCACACCATGGGCTAGGCTGGGTATGAAAACATTAAATCAAATCAGATATATTAGCAGAGGGTCACGCCTCCAATATCATGTATTATAGCAGTTGTGTCTACCAATCTCACATTTAGTCCACTTTGACGAAAAGTATGGCAATCAAAGAAATTATTTTTACTCAACGTACCAGACAGAGGCTTAGACTGACTGGTGTATTTATGGGTCAAGTGACACAACGCCTTTGGAATTGATGGGCGGGTTATCACAGATATAGGCCTAGACCCATATAGTTCAGAAAGGAGAATAATTTGTTTTTCTTAGGGATCAGTGACCATATTACCAGATGCAAAATATGCATACAAAATATGAATGATGAATATTATCAACTGTCATATTTTTTATTCAATATTCAACACAATCTACAACTGCCCCACTACAGTCTTTATCATGCTTATATTATTGACTTGCGTAAGAAAACAAATGTTCCATTCTTCAGACAAAGCGTTGTAAATACAAACTGAGCTTCAGAGCTTCATCTGTGAGTTGTGTTAGAATCTCAGTCAGGTCAGACCTGGTTCCATGGGAAATAATCTGTTACTGCTAGGACTGTAGCGATTCATCGATACCTATGATATCGTTGATACTTAGGTACACACGATACTTAAATCGTCAGTTTGTGAGATCGCCATACACTATAAATGGAACAGGAACTAATAGGTACCTACTGTAATGACAGAAGTTAGCATAGGGCCACCTGTAAGCATGGCAGAACACAAGGACCTGGTGGCCAAAGGACGAAGCGACTGTACATGTCATAACCATCTCTTCATTTAAAACCGTTTTTACTTGTGGTTTTATTTGTTGGAGTTTTTTAGATAAATGTGTGAAGAAAGAGGTTTAGAGCTGTAATTAAGGGATTTAACCATTTCTTACTAATTTGATCTGGTGTATCATGATACCAGTAGTATCGTCAGTCCGTATCATGATAAGATTTGTATCACAAGATTCCGGGGATGCTCAGCTCTAGTGACTAACACTAGTGTATGGGATGTTTCAGTATGATGTTTTTATGTAAACTTGCCTATCTCTGTGTCTAAATGATATTTTAGTAGGCGATGTATCAAGAGACACAGACAAGGCCTGTCAAAAGAAGCTCTTTATGAGCTCCACCCTTGCCACACGTGTTTGCAAACTGTGATTTATTTTAATCATGTGATCACTCTCCCTTTCTGTATTCACCTGAGATCAGTGAGAGTCACAATCCCCAGGTGGTTTAGTAGGGTACCTGCTTCAGCCTTATTAGACACATGTTCACCAGGTACAGGACCCCTACCAGTTGTGTTTCAGTAGGCACAGGTAAGGCAAATTTTTATTTTATTTTGGGGTTACAAATCAATTGACTGGGGCCAAAAGACAACATCACAAAAATATAAGGAATATAGTAGGGCTGGGATGGGTAACTCGGGTACTCGGGTTGGGTGGGTCCTGAGTAGGACCTGGGTACCCACAATACTACCCGGACCCATGGTTAGTTACGTGATATATTGTTTAGTGACAAGAACTCACTATAGCTCAGTGGTTAAACTGCAATTCGCTTATGTTCAAATTTCTTTCTGACGATGCACACATTCCTTTTGACTTGTATATGTTTGAGCAAAGATAAAGCTTCAGTCAACTTCAGTGTACACATGATCTGATCGCTTGATACATGTATCTAAATAGTTTTTGCGAGGGCTGCGGGGAAACAGTTCGCAATCAGACATTTTGTTCCCAACTCTTGAGACCTACAGTGGGTACCCGGATAGTGTCAGGTAATAGTGGGTCGTGTACCTGGGTAGTAAATTTGGACTCGTCCCAGCCCTAAAAAATAGCATAATGTTTGGAATAATTTCTTTACCATGCCATTGTCAATGAAAATCAAGCTAGAAGAACAGCTATTAACAAGTTTCAGAAAAAACGAGTAAAAACTATGATTTATTTCTACTTACCTGATCACCCATCTTTTATCAGTTTGAGAAATAAAAGATCTGACTACAAAAATCATACAAGACTAAAGCAACTATGAACTTTTCAATTTATTGTTGATAAATTGCATAATACATGCTGTGTATGTAGTCTCTGGTTTCTGCAATCCTCGAATACAAAATTTTAAACATCCTCCACTTTAAACGGTATTAGCATTTTCATTCTCCGTTACATTGACCAACCCCAACAACATGCCAAATATATATGATACATTTTTTCGTTTGACAGACACAAGTGAATTTGGTCACAGAAAGCCCTAAACCGTACATTTATCAAAAGTGTGGCCTAGCTGACCCATTGTTTTGTTTGTGACCACAGGATTTTAACAAATATTTGTTCTTAGAAATAATTCATCAATGACATTTAATAATGTTTGTTGGTTTTGGGTTAAACAATATTTTATTGTCTCAAGAGTATTCAAGGATCTTGAAGTGGATCACTTACATGTCCCTCTCTCAACAGACATTGTTGAATTAAGAGATAGATACTAATTATATGTATATCATATGAATAGTGATGTAATAATTATAAGTACATATTTACATTTGTTTCATTTTCTAAAGGGTGGGCTGCTTTAGATAATGGTGTCAGATTATCAAGTATTCTCACTAGTGGTGGGACGATGCACCGATGCATCGGTGGATCACGATATTTTACTTCCCAATACAAGTATCGATCTTAGTCGCATACTAAGTACCAAATATTGATTCATACCTCAAATGTTTACTTTAAAGGCTGTTACACCAAACACTAATTAGTAGTGAAAATTAGTAGTGAAAAAGTAAATATTTTCATCCATTGCGTCATACTTGACACTGCCAGCTGTAAATCGTCAGTGTGCCAGGTATTTGACTATCCTGTCTAGGAAAAAGTAGGCTCACACACCATAGGGTCAGAGCACTTACAAGTATCGTGATACGTAGTGGATGGCACAGTTGGTGTATCGTCCCAGGCCTAACTCTCACATAAATATATCATATCTATAGCTGAGGATACAGGCAACTGACGTGTGGCAAGAACATTCCATGGAATTACAAGAAAGCAAAATTATACCTACCTTGTTCCTATTTTGTTTCATCCTAGTAAAAGCCAGTGAATGACCAACTGCTCTTTGAAATGACTACCGTATTCGACATAATAAGTGCCCAGGGCGCTCTCAAAATTAGAAATAGGGGGCCCTTATTAGACTAAAATTTTGGTGAATTAGATGAAAGATCGTAAATTTCATGGTTAATGCTGACAGCCTGAAATGATACAAAAGAAAAGTCTGTGCGTATTATACATGACAGATATATTTTTCCAGAATTTAATTGCTCGTGATAAGTGTGCATGTAACACACGAGTGTGTATTATACACGAATATATAAGTCTTGTTTACATTGATCAATCGGAAGGATGCTAATTGGGATGGTTCACTAGCCAATATGTTAGCAAATATCGCATTGGACGCTTATCAGAGCGGGGCACTTATTACGTCGAATACAGTATATGTCTTTGAATAGATTCTTCCATAAGTATAAAGTTTTATCATCTTA